GTAGTCGTAGAGTAGTAGTAGTAGTAGTAGTAGTAGTAGTAGTAGTAGTAGTAGTAGTAGTAGTAGTAGTAGGAGTAGTAGTAGTAGTAGTAGTAGTAGTAGTAGTACTAGTTGTAGTCGTCGTAGTCGTAGTCGTAGTCGTAGTCGTAGTCGTAGTCGTAGTTGTAGTCGTAGTAGTAGTAGTCGTAGTAGTAATAGTAGTAGTAGTAGTAGTAGTAGTAGTAGTAGTAGTAGTAGTAGTAGTAGTAGTAGTGTCACTAGTACGAGTACGAGTACTAGTACTAGTACTAGTACTAGTACTAGTAGCAGTAGTGGTAGTAGTAGTAGTAGTAGTAGTAGTAGTCGTTGTCGTCGTCGTCGTCGTCGTCGTCGTCGTAGTCGTAGTCGTAGTCGTAGTCGTAGTCGTAGTCGTAGTCGTAGTCGTAGTCGTGGTCGTAGTCGTAGTCGTAGTCGTAGTCGGTTGTTCGTCTTCTTCTGCTCGCATCCCGCGCCACGGTCGCCGGCCTCGACCTGCCACTGGTCCGTCAGCCTCCTCTCTGCTGCCACCGTCTGTACACCCATTGCGTTTCCCGCCTCCACGTTGTCGCTTCACTTCTTCCCACCCTCGCGTGCCCCCTCGCGAGTGATGCTGTACAAACCCCTATGGGTGGATGCGGCATCTCCCTGCTGCGTGAGCTGGCCTGGCCCGCGCGCTGCCCTACGCCCGACCTCCGCTGCAACGTCGCTCGTGCAACCGCGACGCCAAACAGAAATGTGTGTGTGGTTGCGTGTGTCAGTTTGTTTGTTCGTGTGCTTGTCTACGCGGACCTCTCTCCCCCGCAGTAGGTTTCACTGTTGGCGTCATGTTCCACCTGGAAGATCAAGAGCCTATCGACTTGGAGCAGAAGAAGTCAGAGCATGCCTTCAAGTGTTACCTCGCACTGGGCAACAGTGAAGAGAACACGAGAGCAGCCAAAGCACCTCCCGCGGCACAGCGCGGCGGCGAGCTCGAATAGGAGCCACGACGGACGCGTGTGGGGCAGCGGCCAGCCAATGATGCGCAGTGTGGCAGCAATTCGGGGCCCTGCACGTGACTGCTCGAGAGCAGCCCAAATGCTGAGAGGAGCCAGTGTCGGTGGTTCCGTCGGGACAGCTGCTGGCCTCGCCTTCGCCTTCTTGCCTGTCTCGCCTTCGCCTTCTATGGTCTTCGCCTTCGCCTCGCCCTCGCCTTCGCCTCGCCTTCGCCTCCGCCCGTCTCGCCTTCGCGGCTGCTGGCCTGCGCCTTCGCCTCTGGCCTCGCCTTCGCCTTCTCGTCTACGGTGCGCCCGTCTCGCCTGCGCCCGCGCCGCTCCTGCCTCGGGCTTGGCACCGCACGGACGTGTGCATTTTTCCTTCGGCGAGGGCCATCGAGGAGCATCCTTGACCATCTGGCGAAAAAAAACACAGGGAATGGACGTCCGAGCGATGGCGAGCGGGCCCCCCAACGCGCCGTCCGCCTCGCGGCGCGACCTGCTGCGCCCGGGGCGCGCCCGCGGCCTCCGGAGGGGCCCCGCCGCCGAGGCGCCCGCGGCCGCGGCGGGGCGCACCCTGGGCAGCGCAGGGGGAGACCGTCGAGCCCCCTTCGCGCACGGGAGACCGCGGCAGGGCGTCGGCGCGCGCTGGCACCGAGAGCACAGCGGAGGAGCGCGTTCTGGCCGGCCGCTCTGCGGTTGATCGGGAGTTCCTGTGTATATATATATATATATATATATAAAGAACGTAAATCAAGCAGTGGCGAAGCGTCTTGCCCCGCCTGTAGTCAGGAGCGACAGAAGGACGTACACGTACATGAATCCGCGTTGGTTTCGAGAGTACGCATTGCGCAGATGTTGGTATAACGCGGCCGGTCTCGCGGATCGAGGGGCCGTGTTCATGTACATAGTTGGGCGCGTACGTCTTTTGTGGGCTCCCTATATAGCCCTACCAAACAATGTTCAAATAACCTTTTGCGGTTTCGACGAAATGCTCTTCGAACATTTCTGCTAGATATTGTCTTGTCTTACCACATCGGGTTTATGTTCTAAGAACAGTGTTTTTGATATTGGAACATTTGGTGGTTCTAAGAACATTTCGTGGTAGGACTATAGGCCTGCCGGGACGGTCGTTCCCTGCTCACGTAGAGGAGGGAGCGTGCGCTCGTGGGTGAGAGGTGAGTGAGCGGGAAGCGGCGGCGCGTCCTCGACGCCGTGCGTGAAGCGCGGGCCGCCGCGGAATCCGAGCTGCACTTCTGTGATAAGCCGCAACGCCGCCGCCCTGCTTGTGCAGCCTCTGCCCAAGCCCCAGAACGTTTACGCCTCCAGCCGCTCCCGCTCCCGTGCGCTCGTCCTCCACCTCCTCCACATCCTCCCATGAAGCCGCTGACGTCGCACCCTCGAGCCTCGATCCCTGGAGGTACCTGGAGGTCATCCCTGCTCCTCCTCGTCCTCCTCGTCCTACTCCTCCTCCTCCTCGGCATCACCATCACCATCCACATTCTCGCTTTCTCCACATCTCTACTCCCTCCTTCCTCCTCCCTCCTCCGTCCTACTGCAGGGCAGGAAGAGGAGGAGGAGGAATAGGCCAGAGGAGGAGGAGGAGGAGGAGGAGGAGGAGGAGGAGGAGGAGGAGGGGGAGGAGGAGCAGGATCAGGAGCAGGAGCAGAGAGCAGGGGGGATCGAGGCAGAGAGCAGGAGGACGGCACACAATTCTGCAGCGTGGCCCCCCGGTTCCGTGCCCTCTGCTCTGCCCCGGCTCTCCTCTCTCCCCGCCGTATACTGTCTCCAGGCCAGCCACAACTGGGGGAGCTGTGGTCCTTGCCCCCCTGGGGGACCCATCGATTTCGACACCCCTCTCGAGAGATCGTCGATGCGATCGGTTCCCCCGGGGGGGTAAGGACCACCGCTCCCCCAGTTATGGCTGGTCGGGTCTCAGGGTGGCGCGCGTTTTGCGCAGAATGACTTGGAGCTGCTTTCAGCAGAAGGGTTAGGTCGGGCGTGCCCTCCTGCAGGCGCATTTTGGACGAAAGATACCCGATGCCCAGAAGATGCCCAAAGCATGCCCCCAAAATACGCCAAAACATCGTCCCCGGATTATTTCTGGACTATTTTTAAAAGATCCCCCCTCCAGAGGGACGCGCCCGACTTAGCAGAAGGTCCAGCGCTTCGGGATTTGCTCCCGGCTGCCAGCGGCGCAGGAGCCGGCAGCTTCGGACGCCCCTGGGGGGAGGCTCCCGCGGCCCCCACACGAGCGGCCCTCGGCTTCGAGGGTCCGTGGATCTGCACGCACGAAATGGGTACTGAAAGAATGGGTACAATGCCCAACAGCGGATTTTGTTCATTTTGAACAGGGCTCGCTGTCCACGCCGCCGCGGCCTGTGTCCATTCGAGACAGGAGGCCGCCTGCCCAACAGCGGCCGCTGTTGGTTTGGGACAACATTTGCTGTTGGGCATTGTACCCACTCTTTCGGTACCCATTTCGGGCGTCCAAAGTGGAGCTCGCGGCGGGTCGGTGGGGTGCCTCGTCCCGCGGGCTCAGGGCAAAACGTGTGGCACAGCACCAGTTTCAAGTCGGGCACGTCCCTCCACAGGAGGCAATTTCAAAAACTGTAAAAAATAGTCTGGGGACGATTGTTTGACTATGTTCGACTATTTCTGAATCTTTGTTGAATATGTTTTTACTGTTCGTCCAAAGTCCGCCTGCAGCAGGGGGACATGCCTGACCTTACGCCCGTTTTGTTTTGCGCGCTTTGGGATGCATCCCGCCACAGCGGTGAAGTGATTTCATCAATCACCGCTTGGCTGTCGGTTGGCAACGCGCAGTGACGGTGACGCAGCAGCGGCTGCGGATAATGCCCCCCTTGAGCCTGGGCGTGGGCACATCAGCAGGCTTCGAGTTCAGTACCCCGAAGCGAAAGAGCTAGGCTATCGGCCGGCACCTCCCTCCCCACCGGGTACTCCGGATTCCATAATAAAGTGAAGGGGGGTCACATTTGGGGGGGGTCTGATTTGAGGTGTCTTGGAGGGTTCGGGGGGGATCTGGGCAATGGGCCGCCCTTTCATGGATGGTCTGGGGGGGTCTACAATTTCTCGTCTCGGAGGGTTGTGACCCCCTCCCTTTTATTATGAAATCTGGAGTAGCCTGGGCTATCGCCGAGAAATTGGCCGCGGTTCCCAGCCTCGAACCTCGAAGCTTGCGCTGGTGCCCCCTTGAGCTGGTCCCCCCTCTCGCAGGGCCGCCCACGGTGCGATTCGATGCGAGTCGACTCGCCGACCAGGGCCGCGGTTCTGACCCGTGTCGTCCCATTGGCACCGACCGAGGCCAGCCCGAGCCAGGCGCGCCGATCCGATGAGTTCGCTGGCCATCCCGCCCGCTGCCCCGATGCGACCCAGCTCCGCGAGCTCGCTCCGCCCCTGCTCTGCCCGGCGTCGGCCCTCGCAGGCAGCGGCCGTGATACCCTGCCGTGTCGCAGCAGAATCGGGACACAGTCATCGTCATCATCATCATCATCAGCAGCATCATCATCGGGACACCATCATGATCACCATCGTTATCATCATCATCATCATCATCATCATCATCATCATCATCATCATCATCATCATCATCAGCATCATCGTTATTGATGATATCGCGTGGGTCCTGGAGTCCCTGCCGGGATACCCGCAGAGGTGTACGCCAGAACGCTGGCACCGGTGCGTCGCAGGCGATTTCTCTCCCCCAATCCCCGACTTCCGCCAGAACAGTTTGGTCGCTCAGAAGAGGGGAGGAATCTTGGGATACGTCCCGAGGGGGCTATTCGGACGCAGCCCTGTCGAGGATGGACGCCCCCCCCTCGTATATCCCAGGGTTGGGCCCCAAATTGTTGATCCTCTCGAAAACCTCACGGAGCCTGGGATAGGGGTCGACGCATCCCCTGTTAGTGCGCGCAGATGTTGTGTGGCACCTGTGCGTGGTCGCATCTGCTGGCAGCTGTTTAGGAGTCTGCCTGACGCACCTCCCGCCAGGCCGTCCAGCGGCACGGCCCACTTCCAGTTCCACCTGAAGTGGGTGGCGTCGGTCATAGGCCGCACGGGGCAGCGCACGAGCCATCGCATCTCTTGCCAGCGCTCGATTCGAACACGGGGGGAAGTCGGGGCGGTGAATGGCTCTGGTTGTTTCTCACACGCGCTGGGGAGTTGTGCACCCTGTAGTCTCTCGCCCTTCTAGATCGACTGCTATATTGGGGCACTCTCCCCCACAAGTGGCTGCACCTACCTGGCATCGCTCGGGCGTGTGCATTTTTGTTCTCGGCGAGGACCATCGAGGACCATCCTGGACCATCGGGCCAAAAAAAACACGCACGAAACCGAAACATGCAGGGGAAATGGACGTCGTCCGAGCGACGGCTACCTTAGGAGCCCTCGCTTCCGGGCTCCCTGGCATGCGGCCTGGACGGTGCGCCCAGCCGCCCCCGCGAGGCAGCCTCGTGGGCGCCTCGTGGGCGTTCCGTGCGCCGGGTGCGCTGGCAGACGCCTCCGTGTACTCTCGCTCGGCCCGGCAGCTGCCACGGCTCCCGCGGGCGGTGCTGGCCGCGCCGGCACGCGCAGGCGAGAGCTCGTCCGCAGCTGTCAGGAGGGGAAAAAACACACAGACACCATGAACCGTCGACTCCCCCGGAAGAGATGGGAAACCATGGGAAGTGTGGGGGGGGGGGACAAAAGAAAACAGAAAATATGGGAAACTATTGGGAATCTTGTTATTTGTGTGTATTCATTTGTGTGTCCTGGGGCCCCTTCAATCCGAGTGGCCTCCTCTCCCTCCCCTCCTCCGCGGCCGCCGCCTCTGCCCCCGCCCCGCTCCTGCACGCCGGCCACCAGGGCTGGACCTGAACGGTGCTTTGGCGATCTCGTGGGCCGTTTTCGTTTCGGCCTCGTTTTTCGGGGGAGGACAGAACCCCCAACAGTGACACGTCGATTAGTGAATTGTGCGTTTTCGGTTCTCGAGAGGGCGCCGTGGCCGTTATTTTCCAGGCTTTCGCCCGCCAGGTTTGGGCCTCAGGTCGTTTTCACTAAACCACGTTTTACTAAAGGGGGGTCTGTCCATCCCCGAGTTTTGCGGAACGTCGTGAACCCCACCCTCCCCCTCAGAAATCGTGGGGGGTAGGGGTAGGGTTCGCATGTGGCCCCCTAACCACACACACACACCACACTAGGGGAACGAAGAGTGGCATAAACAAAACAACCCGGAGGTCTGCGCGGACTTCTCGGACCCGCGCTGGACCCCCCTCCCCGGCGCGCGGAGCCGCCGGAGGCGCTGCCAGGGGGGTCCAGCGCGGATCCGAGAAATCCGCGCGGACCTCCGAGTTTTTATGTTTATGTCATTCTTTGTTCCCCTGCCCAGACACACCTGGCACCACGCAGTCTCTGCAACACCCAGCATGCACTGTACAGCTCGCACCACAGGCCGTCTCCTCTCAGGAGGGAGATGGACTCCACCGCCCTCCTGAGCCCAGACTGGTCGATTCCGCCATGGACGCTGCCATGTATACATGAGTCTTCCCGTCGCTCATTTCCCATTTGGGATCAGACCATCCCAGTCAGGCTGGTATCGACCCACCCTTTCAACCTTGTCAAATTTTACCATGCGCGCGCAGTCGTTTATCTCAAGAGGCAATGTTGCAATCATCCCGTGCAGCACATACCACAACGCCCACACGCGCGCCCATGTTGAATTCATACCAAACACCTTACTGTCGAAAGTGCTTCAAAAGAACATACAAGGCGGGTCGGTTTTCCACCGCGAATTGCAGATGTTCTGCCCATGCGCACTTGCTGAACTCATATGAAACTCATTTGATGTCAGCAGGCTCGTCCAAAACCCGCATTCTCATCTCACCACGCGGTGCATCTTCGTTGATCCAGCATGCGCCCAGTGCACGAGTCCGAATCAGATGGTGCCATGCGGGCCACGCGCGCGCGCCGCCACGCGCGCGTGCCGCCATCATGCGAAACCGATTGGTGTTCGAAGAATGTCAAGATAGAGCTCAACAACATATGAGAACAACAGCTTCTCATCCGATGTTTGCTAGCTTTCTTGAATTTCTTCGCCCGCATTACCTCACCATCGTCCTCGTTAAGGCCATCGCCAGTGCCGCAATCATCGGTCAATCGTTTTCCCATCGGTAAGCGCCATCGTGGCCGTGTGCCAGACCAGTCGGCCGCTCTGCGCGCGAGATTGCGCGCGCCAGCGCGGCCACAGAAATGTGCCAGCCAGTGCCAAGCAGACACCGCAATCGCGGCCGCATAGAGTTTGTAAAACAAGTTGCGGGTGGGATGGTGGCATGCTTGCGCGAGCAGTGGAGCTGGCAATGCACGGGCGGCGCTACTGAAGCACACCACACAGGTTCCCTGCGCCAGGCAGCTTCCACATCCGCTGCTCGGGGCCCACGCTGGCAGACGCGTTCTTGCCCTCGGAGTCGCTCCACGCCCGCTCCGACTGCACCCGGAGCGCGCCCGCCCGGGAGGG